GTTTTGGGCCTTTTCCCCTCTTAGTTCATCATGAGAACTTAGAAATGGTAGTGACAGCAATGATAGCTATAGAACTGTTGTATGTACTGTGAAAGGGTTCAAGGGTGAGCGGGACCACTGGAGGAGTGGGCGGACGATCTGCATCAAAACCCACGAGAGTGGCCAGAAGGAGATCGAGGCCTTTGATGCTGCCATCTTACTGATCCGCAACCCCTACAAGGCACTGATGGCAGAGTTCAACCGCAAATACGGGGGGCACATCGGCTTCGCTGCACATGCCCACTGGAGGGGCAAAGGTAGGATTGTGCTGATCCATGCGTAGCCAACCCATGGTGCCACCATGTTGGGTCTCCTGGGGTGAGGAGCATCCTGTAGGCTTGCAACCAGTAGGGTTATTGTGCAATTGTATAATCATTAAGGTTGGAAAAGACCTCTAGGACCCTCGAGCCCCACCATCAACCCATCACCACTGTCTCCACTTGTAGAATGTAGAATCATTAAGATTGAAGACCTCCAAGATCACTGAACCCAACCTGCCCTCACCATGCCCATTGTGTCCCCCAGTGCCAGATCTCCATAGTTTGAGAGGATGGTGACCCTACCTCCCTGGGCAGCCTGTGCTGATGAATCACTACTCTTTCTGAGAAGATATTTTTCCTAATTTCCAACCTGACTCTCCCCTGACCAAACTTCAGTGCTTCAATGTCTTTCTTGTAGTGAGGAGGTTGGGTGTGAGGGAAGAAATTCTGCCTCTCACAAGCAGCTCTACAAGGCAAAGAGTCTCAATGCACATGTCTTGGTGCACAGAGAGAAAGAAGAGATTAAAAATTAATGGCACTGGTGAAATATTTCCACGTGTCAACACAGAGCTGGGACAGTCAGTGCTGTGCTACCACCAGCACAAGGACACCCTCCTCAGGGCAGACTTCTGCAGGGTGAAAATAGCACCATAGCTGCCTATGGTAAATTCCATCCCCTTCCCTTGGGCCATGCCAGCAGGTTCGGCATGCCCGGCTGCTCGCCGAGAGCCACCTTCCCATGCACAGACAGCTTGCAGAGGCTTGTTAATTATAGCAATTTACAAATTGCTGTTGTGGAATTGACTTCATTGGAAAGAGTTAAAATATTTAGCTTGATTGAACATCTGCTACCCTTAATTCAGAGTTTATTTAAGGGGATCTTTTTCTGTTGTTGCAGTGATGTGCCTGGATTTCGTTATTACCATGTGCTTGATGCCAGCAAAGACATTTTGGTTATGAACTGAGCCCTCCCTAGCATCCAAACACCCCCAGCACCCACAGGGAAGCCCCCTGAGCTCCAGCCCCATGCAGCTGGGTACAGCATGTCCCCACTGTTATCTCATTTGTACCTACAGCTGTGGGGTACAAGAATTGCTCCTGGTTCATACCCAACCCAAAGAGGATGCATGTTTTAGTGTGTCTTTACCTCCTGGGTCAATTGTCAGATTAGTTAAGCTTTTGCTCGGCTTGCTTAGAAAGGTGACGGTCTGCCATCACTTGAGGTCTTTAGTTGGGTTGAGGTTTGCCTAGAAGCATAGGTCACCATGGTCTATGAGCCCAAGTTTCTCCTGCAGAAAGCCCTGATCTCCTCAACATCCCACTCTATTTCCTTCTCTGATTTTGGGGGAAATTCAATAGATGTTGGAAAATGCTGGATGTGGCCATGGGCAGCCAGAGTTTTGCTACAAGCAAGCAGAGCCTGAAGGCTCAGCAAAATCCCTATTTTTTTCCATGACATTAATTTTATGATGTCCCTGGAGCAGTTCCAAAGCAAAGTTTTATGTGATATGATTACACAAGGTGAATTGTCCTGTATCTGTTTAATGAAAGAGATACTGTGTTTAATGATTCTTTGGGGAATTAAATACAGTTCAGCTATTAATCAGGCATTGGTTTCTTGGGGAAGAGAGGAAGAGGCAGATGCCCAGAACTTCATGCATCATGAGCCGTGTGCAGAGTGCATTTCCAGGAGTGTTGTTTCTTGTTATCGATGTTTATTATCCTTTTTATCCCAGTTTTTATGCAGAGATCAATTAGCCAAGCAACTGGGGCTAAGTGAGACATGCCAGTGTCCCAGGAGATGTTTTGCCTTGTTAAGTCCCTATAGACCAAGCCACCAGAGCAGGGAGATAGTAACACAAGGATCCCAGGGCCACTTAATGCTCACCCTTACTGTCCCCATGCTCCTTGCAGAGTGGCCAGAGTTTGTGGCCAACTACGCACCGTGGTGGGCGACCCACACGCTGGATTGGCTGCGCTTTGGCAGGAAGGTGCTGGTGGTGCACTTTGAGGACCTCAAGCAGGACCTCTTCAAGCAGTTGAAGCGCATGGTGGGGCTGCTGGGCATCGCTGCCTGCGAGGACCGCCTGCTGTGTGTCGAGGGGCAGAAGGATGGCAACTTCAAGCGCTCGGGTTTGAGGAAGCTGGAGTATGACCCCTACACCCCTGAGATGAGGAAGATGATCAGTGGATACATCCGAACAGTGGACGCAGCTCTGAAGCTCCGCAATCTATCGGGGGTGCCGGATGACTACTACCCGAGGTGACCGTGATGCTCGGGGGACCTGCCCCTGCCTGGGGAGGAAAGGATTGATTTCCTCTACCTGCTTCCACCCAGTGGGTGGCTTTCTTGTAATTCTCCATCTGCTGCTATGAGCTGTTAATCAACCCCCTGCATGAGAAGCGCTCGCTCCCCAGCCATTGCTCAGCTTGCTTGGTTGATATCTTCACAGAGCTGGGCACCGAGGGGACGCATGGTGCCCTGCCACCTCTGCTGGTCCCTGTCCCCATCCTGCAGGTGGGCCCCTGCCCTGCTGGACACTGTGGGAGTAGGTAAATTGGGTGATGTGGGGCTGAGCAGCTCCATCTCACTCCTACATTGGCTGCTGCAGCATCCTTAGCAATGCAAGCGGCTGTTTGCTTGTATGGATGCTGTGATATTGGGGCCCTGCCCCCCTGGGGCATGAGTTGGCTTTGGTGGCTGTCCCTATGCTTTGTGCACTTGCAGAACAGCTCCTCTGAGTCTCCAGTAGAGATGGAGATAATTCCAACAAGGGGGAAACACAGTGTGGGGGGCAGCACTACACGATGCACTGAGGTGAGGTGGTCATGATGCACTGGTTGGGTTGTCTCTGGGTTGTTTGGGAGCCACCTCTGTGTGTAGTGATTGGAGCACTGACACTGGATAGAGCAGCATGCAGCGCCTGTGGGAGCATCCATTCCTCATTGCAGAAGTTCCCAAGCCAGAAAAAAAAACCTAGGGAGTTGTTTTGGGTGAGGGTGAAGGAATGGGGGTCTGGATGAGACCAGCTCCAAGTCCTGACTGTGACACTGAGGGCCTGGGCATGGAGCACAGCTTCTGCCCTGGCCACGGGGAAGGAGGAAACCAAAGGAGCTCTGTGCCTGGAAAGCATCTGTAAAGCTGGCTCTGTTTAGGGCTGCATGCTGCCCCAGACACCTCAACACAGCTGGGTCCCTACCTTCCCTCAGATGGATGGAGATGCAAAAGCCATATCTTGTCTGCAGCCTTTTCTAGAGTTAAATGCTCAATGGTTGGCTTTTAACTCTTGACAGTGAGGGACATGTGTGCACAGGTCCAAAAGCTCCAGAAAGCAGTTAACCTACACTCAAAGAAAAAGAAGAAAACTCCACTGGATAAGGAGATTATCAATAAAATATATTTTTCTAATGTGCGTGCGGAGCTGACAGCGCCTAAGGAGGGGGGGGGGTCTCTGTGCACGGGGAGCCACTCACCCATGAATGTATTTTGCAAAGAGTGTGCTGGTGTTCCCTGTCCTGCACTGCAGGCTGGTGGCTGCCTACCTCTGTCAGAACAAATCCTCAGGTCAACCCAGCTATTAAAGAGTTCTGTTGCTACCCTGCCTCCCTGTGTGTTTGTGAGGCTGTGACCTCAAGGCTGGCTAGTGGCACTCGGTCCCAGCGTTAATTGCATTAATGACATCCCTGCATTCGGAGCACTGATGAGGCAGCTCGGTCCTGGCAGCTTTCCTACCCTGCTGGTGTCCTTAAAGGAAGGTTTATTTGGGTGCCCCATGTGAGCAGAGAGATTTACTGCCAACTTTATTTCCATTGCCTCTTATCATGCCTGAGGCTCTATAAAAAGAATGGTTTTGGTGGGATTTATGCTGCACTGGCAGTAAGGAGACCATGTTTGGGGCATCATTGGCTCTGCCCAGCATCAGCTCTGAGAGGCACAGCAATCCTAAGTAGTAAAAAATCTCTTTTCTGCAATGTCTGCTAGCTCTGGCAGCAGCTATAGGCTGGATGGGTTGCCCTGGTAACAGTGCCTGCACCAAAACTGCCTGCATTTCCCCCAATTCTGTGTGGGTTTGGTGCACAGCCAGCAGCAGTGGGAGGGAATAGGGATCTGATAGCATGGATACAGGGATGGGACAAGGATGGGGATGGAGATGGGAATAGGAATCTAATAGCATGAGTATGGGGATGGAACAAGGATGGGGATGGGAAAGGAATAGGCATGGGATGGGAATGGGAAGGGATAGGCTAGGGGGTGTTTCTCTTCCCAGCCATGCCAAAGGCATTTTCTTGGGATGAATTGAGCCCTCAAGCAGGACTCCTCTTCCTCCTAAATTAAATTGCACACTAAGCTCATGCTGCTCCTTGAACAGGGGGGAGAAAGCACCTTAGCAGCATAACACAGAAGCTGCGACAGCACTTTTACAAAAGCTGTAAAATGTATGGGAGATGAGAGTGATAAATCTGAGCAGCAGTAATATTCACCTCCTACAAAAGAAGCATGTTTATTTATCGTTTTTACTATTTTCTGTAAAATTTACAGTTGATGATCTGCCTGAATGCAGTGGGGTATAATTTAAACATGTCTCCAGCCCGCCTTGAACTGGGGAGAGGGAGATGATAGCATGTTTATTCTGTTTTTTTTTTTTTGTTGTTTTTTTTTTCTTTCCTAAAATCCATTTCCAAATAAAGGGTGAGATTTACTGGGGAAGTAAAGCACAGCTTTATTTCAAGGCTCTGACAGCTAATTGAAAAAGAACAGTCATTAAAGGATGGTAATGTGTTCTACAGAAATGATTTTGGTACATTCTGCAGTAATTTCCCAAATGGCTGTGTGAAATGAAACCCAGACCTGAAGCTGTGAAGAGATGTAAGAAAGTGGGGAGGGAGCACCGGGGTCCTGGGGGTGATGACTGAAGGTCCCAGGGAAGGGAACTGGCAACACAGGGATGGAGATGGGTGTCCCCAGGGAAGGGAGATTGTGGGTTCAGTGGATGTATAGGGTGGTCCAGGAATGGTGATGAGGGTCCCAGGTCTGGGGGCCCAGTTCCTAGATCTCTCCTGTCCAGCAGTGTGCTGCCATAAAACCTTCAGTCCTAAATGTACCCAGTGCATGTGTGCCAGATTCCGTCCCCAACACACAGAGCTGCAGTGGGAGTTGGGTGGGATGCTCAGCACTCCCAGTCCACCACTGAGCCTGCTGCTGTCGTTAATGACTCCTATTTTAATCAGCAGAACAGAGCGTTCGTCGGAGTCCATCTGACAGAAAACACGTTGGGATAACACAAGCATGGGGGAGGACTCAGTCAGCTTTATCTTTTCCTTTCCTAAAGAGCCATTTGGGTCCTCTGTGACCAAATTAAAGAGGTGACAATGATAATGGGATGCTGCTAGGGCTGTCACAGCCCAAAGGCATGAAGTGACTCCAGTCTGACCCTACTGCTTCCCTGTCTTTTCCCCACTTTAGCACTGAGAATCATTAATAAGATCTGGGAAGATGCTGAAATGCTTGCGCTCATTCCCTGCTTCAACACACAGAGGGGTATTTGTATGTAAAACAGGTTTCGCATTAAATAGGCAAACATCTACAAAGATGAATGCAAATATTAGGTTTCCAAAGCTGTCTGTAATGATAATTTAACCCAAGGTTATGTACCAAGTCACCAAGGTTTGGGAAAGTTGTTTGCAGGGATAACAGATGGGCTTGCAAAACCCAGCCACCAAAAAACACAGTGGGAGCATTCCTGTTCCTGCTGGGGGCAGGAATGGGGACATGGCTGTGTTCCCCCCATCCTGTACCAAGTGCTTGCCCTTTTTTGATTTTTGTTTTTAATTAATATCCCAGTTTTTGTGCATACCTGTGAGCAGAATAAGTGCTGGGATTCCCAGGGACACCCAACGTGTCCCCCTAACCATGAGGATATGGCCCTTCCTCCTCCTCCTGGGAACTGCAGGCACTGTGGGTGACATGAAGAAATCAGCCCATAAATAAGGGCAACACCAGTGTTCACCTCCTTGTCACTACCAAGAAGCCCAACTCGTGAATTACCTCCCAAATTAACTGTGCATGAAATTGGATAGAGACACTGGTTCGACTGGCCATTACCAGAGCACTCTGCAAGGATCCTCCAGGACACATCTCTCTCTTTTTGCTGCCAGCTTTCCACTTGGTTGAGCCTATGAACCATCCCACATCCCCGTGGCATTGCTTTGCTGGGCAGAACGGGGGCACAGAAAGAAGCTCTGCAATGGGGCTGAGCCCTTGGGTGAGCATTGTGTTTATTGCAGCGTTCTCTGCTGGGTACACAGTGCTCACATCACAGTTAGAAACATTGCTCTAGTACCAGTACATGTCAGGATTTAAAATGAGTGGCTATATGCATACATGGGGCACAGTCACTGTACTGCCATGGTAGGTGGCATCCACCCACCCAGGAAGCCAAGGTACCCCCTCAGACACATCCCATAATAATAAATTCACCTGCTTTCCCTTATTGCTTTTTTGTTTGTCTTTGTCACAAGACTGTCCAGCACACGCTGTCCTCACAGTGCACCCCACAACCCAGCTCTTGTCACCTCCAGCTGGGACAGGTTGTCCATCTGTGGGCATCTCCAGGCAGCAGAAACTGATGCTTACATCTCCTCCAAGTTGCAGATGTCTCTGGAAAATAAAGGTGGGCCCCAGCCAAGGAGCACAGGCCACACAGAGGTCTCCATGCCTAGGCAGTGTAATCAGTCAGAGCATGCACTGTTTGCATGAGACCATGCCCATTCCACCATCATGGTGCTGAACATGGGTGGCCCCGGAGGACTGTGGCCATCCCATGAGCATCCAGACTTAGAGGACAGTTGTCTCCTTTTCGGTCATTGAAGACATCTTGGAGAAGCTCCTGTGCACGATGCTGGAGTGGCCCGTCTCCTCACTGAGTGCATTCACCAGCCTGGAAAGGATGGTCACCTTGAACTTCTTGAAGTCCTGGCCCATGAAGACATAGAGGACGGGGTTCATGCAGCTGTTGGAGGCAGCGAGTGCCGTGGTGATGGGGATGCCAATCTCAAATACAGAGCGTGGGACCAGGTCAGGCTCAGTTTCCAGGATGTTCAACAGGTGGTAGGGGCTCCAGCACAGGAAGAAGGTGACAATGATGGTGACAATGATCTTGAAGGGCTTCTTGGACTTGGCGAGGCGATTTCGACGCAGGTTGAAGGCAATGGAAACATAGCAGAAGGTGATGATGGTGATGGGCAGGAGGAACCCAGCAAAGAGCCTGGTGATGTTCACTGTTCGGTGTCTCACTAGTGCCAATGATTGGTAAGACCTATTTCTGGACAGGGAGAAGTTGCTGAAACAAATGATAGAGTTGCGAGCTTGTGCTGTATCTCGGAAGACAAGAGAAGGGCAGCTCATGATGATACCAACCATCCAGATGATCAGGCAAACCATGCATGCCAGGTTGGTCGACCGATGGTTTTGAGACCAGACAGGAAAAACTACCGACACATAGCGATCAAAGCTGATGGTGGTGAGCAGAAGAACACTGGTGTACATGTTGAGGATGAGGAGGAAGGAGTTCAGCTTGCACATGACGGTCCCGAAGATCCAGTTGTAGCGCATGGCTGTGTACGCAATGTTTATGGGTAGGAAGATGTTGAAGAGGAAGTCGGCGACGGCCAGGTTGAGGAACCAAATGGCATTGACCGACTTCTTCATTTTCAGAGTGATGATGGCTATGACAAGGCCATTCCCCAGGATGCCCAGCACGCAGGACACACTGTAGATCACAACTGAGAGGATCCTCGCAACGTCCTTTGGGTCATAGGATGGGCCTGTCCACACGCTGCCTGGCTCTTCATAGGTGTAATCCAAGTAGTCATAGATATCAGAGTCATCAGAGTAATCAGATAAATTGGAAAGCGCCATGGCTGGTGCACAAATCAGTGTCCAGTCAGTCTCAGCCTCTCCAGATGGCAATGCCCTGCTAAGCAAACACAGTGTTAGATCAAAGCATGGCTAGAACGGCCCTGGAAACTCGGGGGGATCCCTTGGGTCCAGCTCAGCTGCTGGGGCTTGTCTGGAATGTTTATGTGCTGATCAGGAGAAGCACCAGCTCTGGGAGCTGCTGAGCTCATCTTGGTTGCGCTCACCAGGACATGGCTGCAGCCTTACAAAAGCAGGTCTATTGCCTACTTATTTCCAAGGAAACAATTAGTATTAGGCTTACTAACAGCTTTGAGATTTTCCAAACTGCAAAGTACTACAGCTTTTCTCTTTCTTTCTCCCAAGCACTGAGCAAAATGCTAACCGTGAGCACTATATTTGCCACTAGCCAAAACTGGGCTCCACCAGCCATTAAGCATGTTCCACTGCTCCCTGCTAACAGCTCTGGGGCTCTGCACCTCAAACCCATCCAGGCTGTGCAGTGCTGAACTGAGCATCATCCTCCTGCCAGCACCACTCCCAAGCCCCCATGCGTTTACACAATAAGCTATTGTTTCTCCATGGGCTTTTCCTCAAGTTCCTTCCCAAGCAGCCCCACCGCTCTCTGCCCTTTCCTGCCCTCAGTGGCACTCCCATCAGGATGCAGAGATTTGAGGGTGAACAAATCCTCAAGCAAGCAGCTGGTGGGCATCCCATCCATGTCACAATCTATGGATTTCACAGCCAAAAGGGTGCTTAGTGCATCCCCATACACAGTGCATCCTAGTCCCCTCATGGAGCCCCAGGAGAGTTGCCCATGGGACAGGACACCAATTACAGCCCCGAGCTGGCCCTGCCCCTGCACACCCTTAGCACATGGCTTCACCTCCCCAAAAGCAAAGCTGTGGGTTACAGAATGCTGCTCCATCCTCATTTCCCACAGGGACCCCACTTCTCTACCCCTGGCATTCCCCCCTCTTCAAGTTGTACCCACTCACCCATTTTTCACGGAAAAATCTCTCCTGTACCATCACTTTCCAATGTGATGACATTCAGCTCAACATTTCAAAGCTGTGCTTTATGGACCGTTGATTGGAATTGCCTGTTTGTTTTGCTCTCCATCCCCTTTCCCTCTCAGGTTTTTTTAACACTGATGTGCAGGACATTCCCCAGACCCAGCTGAAAGCAGTGCTACAGGACATGCTCTGCATGGTTGTGCTGCAGCCATGAGCACCAGTGCCAGGACAAGCAAGGGACACCTGGCCCCATCCCTACCAGCCTGGGCTTGAGAAACCCCAACTCCATTTCATCTCCCTTTTGCAAATACCCCATAAAGTGTGTCTGAAAAAGCAAAACAGCAACAAAACAAAACCAACAAACTAAACCCACACATCATCATGTTTCAATGTTCCTTCTGGGCTGCAAATGCTTAGCACGAGCCAAAACCACGTTACGCGCTGTTCTCTATTCATCTCTGTCCTCCTACCTCCGCAAAAATGAGCACAGGATCTGCCCCAAATAATCCAAAAGCTGTGATTCACACAGCTGTGCTCAGCCAGGGACCCCCATAGGGCTGAGCTCGGGGCGGCCCCGCATACGGCCAGGATGAGGTCAGGGCTGTTGTTCTTGGGACGGCAACAGGAAGCAGAGAGAACAGCAGAAACCTTCAAATGCAGCTTTACTGGGCAAAAAAAAAAAGCTTCCGTGGCTAAGAGGACGGATGTGAGTGGGGAAACGGGGGAGTGCAGCCAGAAGAAAAAATAATACATGGGTCTGCCTTATCCTTGCACTTGGCTGTGGGGATGCTTAGGAATCAGCATCTCCTTCCTTGTGCATCCATGTCCCCATTGAACACAGGACATCCTCATACCCTGCAGGAGCCAGACTCTCGTGTTCACCCAAGCTGTGAGGTGAAGCAGTGGTTCTGTGTCCCCCTGTGGCTGCCCCACACCAAAGCCCTGAGTCCCAAGTTCCCTCCCAGCCTGGTATGGGGGTGTGGGAATGCAGGGGAAGGGGTATGATGACCAGCTCCACTTCTCACTTATTTCAGCTGGCAGCTGCCATGGCAATGACATCCCAGTTTGATGTTCCCAGTCCTGAGTGCAAGTTGGGCACCATCAAAACACCCATAACAAGAGCTCAACCTCACTGCTGCTAAACACCCAGAGAAGTCTGCTGGAACTGCACACCCAAGCCCTATTTTTAGGTTACGTGCATGCAGAAAAATTTCCTGGCATCTCAGTAAGGCATCTTTGACCTCTCAAGATTGCCCCCCTTGCATGCATGGTGATGTCATGGAGAAGAACAGCTTGTGGGGAGTCCCACACTGCTGCCATCCCCCTACACCCCACATCTCCCAAATCCAGGCACCTGCAAATCCCCAGAAACAGCCCCACAATCTGCAACCCCATTGGCAGAGGGAGGAGGCAAAGCCTGTTCCTAGAGGGGAAACTGAGGCACAGAGCCCTACCTGCATCCACGGTGCTGGGTGCCAGGACCTTGAGAGAGGCTGCGTTGCGAACAGGCAGATAAAAAAGGAATAACTGGAAAAGGCAGCCTTAAAAAGCCGGCTGTGCCCAGGGTGGGACAGAATAACAGCATGAGTCAGTGTTTTTTCTGGGCAGCGCTGCACACGTCTGGTTGGGATGGGATGGTCCATGGAAGCAGTGCAGGGACACAGCAGCGTGGGGTCACAGCTTGCACACTCTGCTCTGCCCAGAAACTGTGTTGGACCTCAAAAAACGACACTCATCACCAGGCTAAGCAAAATCACCAGCTCCACATCACGCAGCACTCACTGTTAGGTGTAGGACAAGGGTTGAGTGCTGCAATAAGCACTGTGTGATGAGCATCTCTCCTGGGGATGTATCCCAATTCCCTGCACGTTGCAGGGAGCCAGCTGCACAGCACGGTGCCAGCGAGTCAGCTGCATGGCATGGCTGGAAACACAACAGCCCCATGGTGGGAGCTATTCCTGCTGCAAACAAGGAGGATTTGCACCCCATCTGACGGTGTCAACTGGGGTGCTCTGTACAACACTGTGGCTGCTTGGGGACAAAGCCAAGCATATGGTTGGGGACACCACTGGGAGGTTCATGTGGCACCTGCAGAGCCACTCTCAGCAGATCAGAGTTTAGAGGGTGCAAAGAGGAAGGAAAACAAGAGAAGGAAATGGATTTGTCCCTGCTGCTGCCAGACAGAGGGACATGATTGTGCTCAGGCATGGGGGGGACTTTGGGGCCAGGCAAAAGAAACTAAGCAAATGAGAGTAGTGATGACCTACTACAGAGTCCCAATGCATGGCCCCATAGGTCACCACCATCCCCAACCCAAACCCCAAACCCACTTTGTAATAACAGAGAGGAGAAAACCCTCAGCTGGCTGCATCCCCATGGGGAAAGCAAAGAATTCTTGCTGGCTGCAGCCAACCCCTCCCTGAGCCCCAAATATCGCTCCGCTCCCAACCCAGGTGCAACCCCATGGACACCAAAACCCAGAGGTGTTTACCTCTCAGCCGGATAACTCCCTGCCCTTCCGTGCACGTAGAGATTCCATCCCCACTGCTGTCACCCTGTTAAGATTGTGTTGGCCGCTGCAGGGTTTGGTCACTTCTCCACCAGCAGCCGTGGCTATTGCTGAGCTCTCTCTCATCCCACAGAGGATGTGCACGCGTTGCCGATGGGAAGATGAGCAAAACCACAGCCTGTGGCACACACAAACACAAAAAAATGCAACCAGACATCAGCTTGGCTCATGCTTGGGAAGGAGGAAGCGATGTAGCGAGGCAGGATGTGGGGATGGGGACCATGATTTTGAGGCTCTGTGCACAGAGGGGACAGGACAGAGCTCCTTGTGCCACGCATATCATGCTCAGCCCCAAACCTTTTGGAGTTCAGCATTCCACACTGGTGTAGGGCCAGGCACATGCTGTCCCCAGTGTTCCCAGGGTGCGTGGTGGAAGGGAACACATTCCTGCCTCACTAATCCCAGCTGTTGGTGCAGCTGTGACCCACGCACAAAGGTGGGGATGGATCCAGCAGTGTGTCCTCATCCTAGATCACATGGAGACACAAGTGGAGGTGGTGGTCACTGTGCTTGAGAAAACTGGGGTTTGCCCGACCATCGCTGGGTTCCCCTATAGCATCACCGATGTGGGGCGCACACGGAGACATCCAGAAATGGCTGTGAAAGTGCAAAACCACCACCACAAACCCCATCATGTGGCATCAGCAATGCCCAACGAGAACTGACACCTGCAGGGACATGCAACGGCCTGCACAGGTGGTGACACTAGTGTCCCCCCCGTCCCCCCCGGAGCTGTGAAAGAGGAATCAGCCCCAGCTGCGATCCTCACTTCGCATAGTGCTGGGTTACAAAACTGCTGCCCTGGGGCTGAATCAGGAGAAAAGTTGCTGTGCCTCTCAGTTTGGAGAAAGGAGAAGAGAGAAGAGTCCCCGGGGGGCGGCATGATCCTCCCCCCCCCCCCCCAGCACCCACAGATGGGGATTTGCCAACAGCTCATGACTGTCACACTGCTGCACTGGGGGCAGGGGGGACCTGGGCATGGGGTGAGAGCAATAACACACAGCCCAGCCAGAGCAAAACCCTTTTGTCATCCTAATCCATTTGGGCAATGCAGTTCCCATCTCAGCAGCTCCCAGAAGTATTTCAAAGTACCCAAAATATATATTTTTAAAATGAAACATGGTCTTGCTGCAACGCAGGCGTAGCACAGCCTGGTGCTGCCCCACTCCCCATTGCTCTGTCAGTGGGACCCATCCTAACCCCTCCCAGGGCCAGACACCCCACCTCCCCCCCCCTTGGGGACTCCTCCAAAACCTCGTAGAGCTGATGCTCATACCTTAGTGGGACCTCTGCCACCACTTCTGCAGTGGGCAGCAATTCTGCATGGGGTCCCTAGGAGTCAGCAGGGGAGGGGGCTCAGCGTGAATTCTCCTCTCTTCCCCCTCCATTCCCAGTACCCAATACCTGGAGTTCTGCCACAGCCCTCTCTGCTCTGGGATGAAGGCAGTGAGGAAGAGGAGCTGAGCCCGGTGAGGATGCTGCAGGCAGCGGCGTAGGGCACAGACGGCTTTTAAGGAGAAGGGGAGGGGGAAGGAACGGCAGCAGCATCCTCGGGGTGGTTTTGGCTCCGTGAGCAACAGCTGGGAGAGGGTGGGAAAGCTGGCGGGGATCCTGCAGTACATCGCTTCCCGTGGGGCCGCCTTTCCTGGCCCCCAGCCAGGCCCTATAGGGCTGCGGGGCAATGCTGGGCAACACCAGGGGGACACCACAGAGCCAGGTGGCTCCCAGCTGCCCCCAGCCCACTCCACACCCTCCCTCCTCACCCTCCTGTCCTCCCACCACCCCCAACTCCTTCCAAGACATTGAGTCACTTCCCTTGGTGAAATCTGGCTCCCAAACGCTGCTGCCGCATTTGGGTCTGGGTTTCTCCCATGGCTTTTATTACCATTGGGATTCAGCTGTTCCCAAGCAGCACCCCCAGGCTCGGCTATAGCACCTCCAGCCTTGTGTGCCTTTCACAGGGGCTGCAAAGCAAACGGAAGGGGCTCCACCTGCTCGTGGCCAGACCAATCCCAATCGCAGCCAAGCGGTTTTCCGGGGCTGTTCCCATTCTCAGTGAGGACTGAGCAGCTCAGCATCCACCCCCGCAGAGCAGGAGGTTCCAATCACCCTGTGCTTGATGTGGCACTAAGCAAATCCCTTTTCCTGCCCTTCAGCCCCCACAGCACTCAACCCCTGGGTTGGGCTCCACATACACAGCACAGCCATGGGTGTGCAGCAGGTTTGGGGGAAATGATCCCACTTTTCACACACACGATAATGACACCTTCTGGACAAACCACCACCAGCACCCTGACCCTTCCCAGGGGGACACTCAGCACCAAAGGAGTGGATGCTCTCCTTGCACACCCAGCAGCTCCACATCTCTGAATTCACCAACAGCAGTTCCCTCATCGAGCAGTCACAATTCCCAAAAAAAAAAAAAAGCACCAGGCTTATCAGACCACACTGTAGTCTTCAGGAGCAGTATGCCCACAGAAGATGATGGCCAGCCCATAACCCAGGGCACACCTTCATCCCACACATCTGAGCCACGCAGACTTTGGAGCAGGAGCACAGCGATGTGCCCTGATGGGATCTGCCTATCCCCAGGTCCTTTCCAGGGCATCTGTAGGGCAGGATGGGATGGGATCATGCTCACACACCCTTATCCCTGTGCTCAGCAAAACATGAAGGTAAAAACCACACTGACATAGGATAAAGCACACCCCAAGTGTCAGCTCTGCAGTTTGGGTTTTCCCTCCCAGGAACACTGTGATGCCACAGAGCCATGGGAACCCCTCCTAGCCCTCAGCACCTCCCAGATGGTGGGAACCAGCCTGATTCACCCCAGCAGCTGTCACTGTAACAGCAAAGAGAAGGCAGAGCAGACACCCCCCACCTCTCCCTGTATTTCCCACGCGGGCTGCATGTTGCTCATCGCTCCCTCCATGACCTGTTGTGACAACACGCCCTGCTCCGCATCCCATCCGAGTGGAAACGAAAGCTCACTGCAAAAATAAAGAAGCCCACATACAGGATGTCAAAGAGACGGCTCCGCTTTCCATGTTCCACTGATTCGGTACAATCACGGAAAAAACAGTCCCAGGCTTGTGCAACTCACAGCTTATAAATAGCAGCACGGAGCCCAGCAGGGCTGCTGGCAGGCAGGGTTGTGCTCACTGACTGCCCCATGCTGCTGCAAGTTGAGCTGCAGGAGGCACCGCGCTCCATTCATTGCATCCCACTGCAACCCCATTCATTGCATCTTCCATTCATTGCGCCCCATTGCTGGGGTGAAGATGGCATCCTATATATACCCTTGTGAGCCTGAGGTATTCTTTTAACCCCAAAGCCACCCACCCCTTCCCCTCAGCGCTGGCTAGGCGCAATTAGTTAATTAGCCACTGGAGGTAATTAACCCAGCTCACGAAAAGAGGTGATGAAGGCACAAGCAGAGCCTTGCAAAGCTAAATCCTCGTGCATTTATCCACAGCCTAGTGATTTGGAAACCCTCCTTCAGACTACACCACACAAAAGATGCATTTACCATACCTGCACAAGGCCACGCAGCTCCCTTCACAGCTCAAGCATCCTGCTGAGCACTGGGGATGCTCAGAATCACAAGCAGAAGATGCATGCTGCCAGAGGTCATCTTTTGGCATCCAAATGCCATTGATGCTGTGGGCTATGGGTGCTCTGTGGGGCCATCTCTGGGGAATCACATAGCAGTGATGGACGTGCCCACACTGAGCGATTCATTGGCAGCTCCATGTTTGTGTCAAGAGCCATTTACAGCTCCCAGCACAGAGATGAGGGATTACAGGGCATGGACAGTTTGTTTTTCATTTTAAGCCCCAGCACAGGGCACCCTTTTCTACATTACCCTCGTTCCTCACCTTCAAATGCCTCCTGCAGGTGATGGACACACACCAACAGCAGGGATTTACAAGCAGAGATGGCTCCTTACACCAGATTCCCACTGAGGATTTGATTCCTGCAGAAGCAATGCAGCCCCTGCTCTCTCACCAAAAGAGCTTTTGGAGCACTAAAAGCCACAGAAGAGAGAACAAGTGCCTCTGGAATCAAAGATGAGGAGCAGCACCGTGCTCCTGCACATGGCACTTCTTCTCCTAGAGCTCATTAGGGGCTCATTAAGCTTCAGCAAGAACTGCAGGGTGCTTCAGCCAAGACAAGCAGCAAAGGATGAAACATCCTGAGCCCTGATTGCCCATAGTCCTGACACACTGCTCCACACCATCCATCATCAGCTACTTGAGGAGGTCTTTCAGCCTGCCCACTCTGCTCTACTCTTGCCCCTTCTCTACCCAGGCTCACAGCTTTGCCACTCACCCACAGACATCAAATAGAGCCCCAAATCTTCCTCCCTTTCAGCTTTGTTTCACGGGAGAATCTCTTTCACATAACTTATGCCAATCCCACTGGAGGGAACATGCTCTCCACTTAATGAGGTGGGGGGTTAATGAGCAACAGCTGGGACTTCTAGGACAACCATTGACCCTGGGTACACAAAGGTTCCTCATCAGGCTGCAGCTGAGCAGAATTTGGCTTCAACCAGCCCTGCTTTAAATGATAGCTCAGAGTAAGCCTTCAGTAGAGGGGTGTCCTCCTCCTAATGTCTACAGGTGGTGTCTGTGGTTGTCATCAGCCCATCATTGGCATCATCCTACAGGGAAACATACAGTGCCCACCTTTAGGAGAAGGTTTGGGGGTAGGGTGAACTAAAAATGTGAAAGTTTGCGTGTGGGTTCCTTTAGTTTCACCTCAAAGTTTCCATTTTTACAGCCCAGGCAAAATTAAGAAAACGCGTGGTTAAAGCTGCTAGCAGCAGAAAGTGAGCATCTGTGCCAGCAACTGAGGTCAGGTTGGATTTTGTTAATGAAGGAAAGCTGTTTGATGTCTTTCCCATCAAGGTGATAGAATATGATGGAGTAAATAGTGGCAGTTCCCTGGGGGGACACAGAGAGACTGGTTTTAGGAACTCATTAGGTGGTTTTGGAATCATCTTATCCTATCCTGTTGTATCCTATCCCACTCCATCTCATCCCAACTCAACCCATTCATATCCCATTCCTTACCACCAGTTGCTGGGAAGTGGCACAGCCACTGTTTTACTTTGTGAAGTCCCAGTGAAAGGTCATTTTTGGTCTCATTTCTGCCCTAAACTCTGGGTGCAGATCTCAGCATGGTACGACCCTGAAGCCATGAGCCTGCTCCTGAAAATTATTTAAGAAATAATTAATGTCAGAATATTTAAAAAGGGATTAATTAGTGTTGTTGATGGAAGCCAGATCTAGAATTTGCCTTGGAAAGAAAACAAATCAGAGCCCAAAAGGGAGCACGGGGAGCAAAAGCTGTGCCAGAGAGCTGCACGCAAATGTTCCGTGTCACATTATACAGAATTAATGCTTCGGATTGTCTGCGCAGATGAAAAGTCTTTAACCTAAAGAATCAATTAAGTTTCCTTGCAGACAGCCTAATCTAACCCATGGGGGACTTTGGAGGGAGTGCAGCCCCTCGCCTCTCCTGCAGGCAGCTGTAAATCTCTGCCTCATTACCCAGCAGTGAGAGCACCCTGGAGCAAGCTTGGCTACAGCATCATCACCATCATCCGCTGACAGAGAGCTGGTGCTGCCCCATCCCTGCACACAGCCACGGTCAGAGCACAGGGCTGTGGGCACTGATGGGGCTGTGGGTGTCCCTGTGCACTGCAGGCAGTGGGAGCAGACGGCCTTTGGGGGTCCCTTCCAACTCAAAACCATTCTATGGTTCTGCGATCACCTGTTTGGCACAAAGTCCCCATAAACTCCGTGGCAGGATTGGTGCCAGGAGTCAGTGGGGACCAATTCCTGGCAGCTGTGTGCCCAGCACAGCGGGGAATGCTTCCCATTTCCCCAGCTCTTGTTGCAGTGGGAGTGGGATCTGCTGGCAGGAGGCAAGGGAAGGGAGAAGGCCTCTTGCGCTGGCCCCATTCCTGCAGCAACACAGGACAAGGTGAGATACACAAACCCAAGCCTCAGCTCCCATTCAATCCCTTCCCAACAGGAGCAGTGAGCCCAGCAGTGAGAAGCAGCCTTTGCTGCAGGGGCTGCCAATTCCATCCCCGTTAATTGAATCAGCTTTGCCTCTGCTTTATGTCCTGTGACAAGGAGGCATAATGAAATTTTAAAATGCCATCATTTTACACCAAAAGATTATTAATAATCCAGCAACAACAACAACAAAATGCAACCAGGGGGAGCGGCCTGAGGTCCAAGTGAATTTCAGAGATTCATGGTGCTGGCACAGCGATTTCATGCCCCACTGGGTGCAGATGTGGGACAAAGGGGATGGTGGCAGCCCAGGTCCCCTCGGCGCCACAAAGCCACAATGCAGCTCAGGTCTGTGCCCAGCTTGGAGCCATGACTGCATCATTCTTTCACCTCCAGCTCTATTGGAAATCACCCGGCTGTGCTCACACCATAAAAAGAGAAGGAAATGCAGTCAGATTTCAGATTGCCTTCTCCTGCATCCAAATTGCATCATAGATCACATCCATGATAACTGCCACACTTCCTATTTTGCTCCACTCTTTTCTTCGTATGAGACACATCCTCATGCAAATGGACTCCAGGGTTTTATTTGCTAAATGGTGAATGGGCAAAACTCACTGCTTGCACCTTCCTCAGCCCCAGGCAGGAGCAAAATGCAGGGCAAGCAAGGAGCAAAGTGCAGA